AATATCCCTAATTCCTTCCACAAATAAAGAATAACCTGAGCAGACAGAGCTCTATCAGGAAATCTAAAGAAAGCTAGTAGCATCTCTGTCTTCTCTTCAATCCTGAGGATACCTTGTGGAGATTAGGCTATGGGAAGCTTTGGAAAAAAAAGGACCACAGGGGAGTAAGAAAGGAGTCACTATCCATGCCATTCCCAGTTCTCAGAACCAGAACTTTTTAAAGCACCTATATTTAGGGCCCCATCAGGAGAGTTTTTCCACACAAGATAAAGGTGTTTGTTGCCAAGGGCAGATTCCCCACCTATGCATTACCTGTATACCTATCCCAGGGCTCAACGCCAGCAAAGATAGACAGTTGAAAACTTCACAATATGAAAAGAACAGATGTGGGCTGTTTATTATTGATGGTAGAGACAAATGATTGCAAAATGTTGGAAATATACAGGCTATTCCCCTTTAAAGTGGAAAAGATCTGATGGAAGCAAACATCATTACATATTATATTTATATAGCTCCAAAAATTAGACTAGATATTTCAGACCAGAGATTCAGCTGGTATAAATTAATATGGCTCCATCATCTTTAATTGGGTTAAAATGACAGCCAGACCCTGATTTTTAACTACCACCTCTTATGTATTCTCTCTTTCTCAAAGAAAGTAAATTTGTCTGTTAAATGAACGTGGAAGAACATTTATGAAAATCATTTGGACTGACTTTACAGAATCCAAAGTAAAACTGATAGATTTTGCAGGTATCAGAATCCTGAGTAGAAATCTCCACCATCAAAATTATGGCCAGGGAGGCAACACTATTTGTTCCTGGGCCCTTTCATCTACCTTTTTTTGAAGGCCTTTCAGATAAAGGCAGCATCCTGTAGACCCTGAAGGCATTGTTTCCTTTCTTTATACTTTTGTCTTTCACTTCTTCTATGTCAGGCAAAGAGTTCATGGCACACCGGAAGTTTGCCTTCCATGTTTTTGGATCAGGTTTATCAACTCCTTGTTGAAATTTTCCTAACAAACATGAAAAGAAAATTAAGTACATATTGACAAGTCATAAGATCTTGGAGAAAGCTAGTAGTACTGTGGGCTAAGTGTTAGTGTACAAGCCTTTTGGTACTGGGTATAGGAGCTCAAACCATAGTTCAAGTTGCAAGAGAAAGTGAATTTGGTGATCTCATCCTCATGCTTATCTCTAGAACATATGATTGACAGTTTCTAATCAAGAAAAACCCAGGGCAAGGATAGTCAGGGCACTGCATGTCAGATGCAATGTTACACCAGTGTGAGACAGCTTGCACAGCATTTATTATTATTATGCACTGCTCAAACCCCTAAGGGCATAAAGGACCCAATTCTGCAAGATGTGGGATAGTCTCTGATTCTACTGATTTTGAACCCAGACTTGTCAATGATGTTTCATCGCTGCCTTCAATGCTAGCAAGACACAACCCCTTAACAAAGCTGGAAAGAACCTTGCAAGAGTCATTTTGCAGACTCAGATCCTTACACTCATTCACTGCATTTGTCAAAACAAACAAATGAAAGGAAACAAAAATTGGGAAGGAAGAAGAAACAAACATTCAAAGACTGGCCATAAGAAAGGAGAGCTCCAGTACCTGTGTGAATTGCCCAGTTTCTAAATAAAGGAGCATCTTTTTCAACATCCCACCCATGCCGTGCAGCATGCATCCAGGGAATCTGAAAAATCTTCTTCTCCTGGAAAGGAAAAAAAACAAGAAATGGCAACTCCGATTGCCTCTTTGATTTTCTGATCATTTCAAACACACACCCCTACAGCTCCAGCATCTGTAAATGTTTTACTTTATTTGCTCCCTTACAGCAGAATCCTTTTGTTACTATTGTTATCATCAAAACACTTACCGGAGTCAGCATGAGCAGGATGTGGCCCTAAGTATATTAAAACCACAGATACCCCACCCCTTTATGGGCTTTAAAAAAAATGAGGCAGCTTTGCAAATGGACACATGTACAAAACATGCTGCAGCACATTTGTAAACATTCCTATGAGTATTCTTTTGGCAGTGCAGAATTTGTTCTTTTTATGATTAGGAATCAAGTACAAAGACAAATATTTATATGAGTAACACTAACTGGAGGGGCTAAAAATTCAGCCAGTGAAATACCAGCACAATAAGAAATTAAGACATTTAAAACTGGGTAGGGTAAGCTTACAGGACATAATAAGGAAGTGAAGTGTACAAGACTCCTTCATAACAGAAGTCAAAGTCATCTAAAAATTAACTCACTCCGTAGTTCCTGGGTTTTGCTCTTCTCTTCCTTCAACACCATTGTCTTTCCTCTTCTGTCTCTCCTCCTAGACTGCTTGTGTGCGCTCTCTTAGACTAACAGATCTATAAATGTAAAGTTTTGTTTTTTCTTCTTCATTCATCTTTGTGTGACACTTTCTTTTCTGATTCTTCCTTTTATGCCAGCTTCTGCTTCTTCCCTTCAATTTTTACTCCCCTTTATTATCCCCTCCTATTTCTATTCTCCCCTTTATATTTTTTCTGTTCTTTAGTAAAAACAGAGGTTTAACATGGCATCCCCCTTTCAGAACACTTTTTTGCAACTTTTTACTCTATTCTCCTGACTTTCTATTCCTTTGCACCCTCCTTTCATTTATTCCTCTTGCACTTCAGGTCTTAATGCCTCTATGGTCATTCCAACCCTCAACATCTTGGTAGGAAGCAAAGTAACCCAGAAAAGCAGGATATAGCAACATCTCATAAAGTGTATCAAAAATAAAAAAAACAGGATTTAGCAATCCCATGTCAGAGCTGCCACTAACCTCTTCTTTAAGAACACATACTAGGGTCAGTCTCTCTCCAAGCTAAAAGAAGTACCAGAAGGACATTTGGTCAAGCAGCACGGGAAAGTTAACTTACTGAATAAAATTGACAAAAACAATACTGGAATCAAAACATGAAATAAGGCATGAAAACACCTGCTTGGTATGACCAGCTTGGTTTTCAAATGGAAAATATCCTTTTTACCTCTGAATCATCCTTTCAAATCCATAGTGTTAATTTACCAGCCCAAACATAAGATCCATTTGACTATATTTATCCTAACAAAAATATTAATATTTTGAATTTCTTGCCTGTTAAAAAAAATACTTGCCCCAGATGAGCAAATGGATTTTTACAGGTTGGTGTAAATATATAACTACCCGCTTCTTTATTTTTCATAATATTTACTATGCACTTTCTAGATTCATTAATAAAACATTAGTCAGGTGTGATCCTAAAAGACACAGGAAATGTCATTGAGCACATCAATGTGTTTCTGTTTTCTAACAGAAAAGTCTTATGCCATTTAGCAATTGTAGGAAACAAACTGGGTTCTAGATAATCTAAATTCTATTAGAATTAATAAAAATCTAGAAATGTTATTAAAATTGAGCAGCTCCTCCTCTTCCCCCCGCCCACAAACAAACCTATCCCATTCTACAGTAGAACGAAAATTTTAATTTTAGAAGAAAAAATGCAGGTGACAGAATTCCACTGTATAATATTCTACAACAGGGTTGTCAACCAGGGGTACACTGGGGCACTTCCAATTTCACCGTTGGTGTTTCCGGTTTTGCCCCCCCTCCCCGTCCATGGATTGGCTGCTGGGGGGACCCCTCCCCCCCAATTTTCCAGAACATTTTCCAGTGCTTTATTTTTCTGTGGGAAATTTTCCCATGATATTAGGTAAGATTGGCAGTTTGAAAGTTGTAATTAATGTTTTTCAGGTGATTATCCCTAGAAAGTGTGTAAGAGAGTATGTATATGTTTCACTGATTTGTAAAGAGGAGGGTGACTACACTCACATAATAATCCAAACCAAAAATCAAGTTATGAATTCACCTAATTGGCTGTGCAGGTCAAATCAAAACCAAAGCTAAAATTCTTTTTTTTATCTCAGACTGCAAGTGAAAATAAAACCAAAACTAAAACTGTGATTAATTTTTGTTTAGATAAATAGTTAACTATTTCAATCCAGCAGAGTGAGCTTAGTCCTCTCTCTGGCTGATGGCAGAGGCCAGACTATACTTCCCTGTGGCTCTGCAACCAAGCAGCAAGTTGAGCAGCAGAGTGCTCTTTATGGCAGGGAGGGGGGAAGCAAGCTCCTGCTGCTTCTCCTTCTGATGGATGAGGCCAGACTAGAACAGGCTGAAATAAAAATCTTTTTCCCCTTTTGTTGCAGGAACTTGGTAGCTCAAGTGAAATAGCAGATTTGCAAAAAATGGAAAATGAAAATGTTGAGCTGCCAGGTCTGGGGGAAGAAGCAGCAGGATCCTCGCTTTCAAGATCACTGACACCAGATATGCGATCCACCATGAGTAGCTCTTCAAGACAGTCAAGCTTTTTATCAAGCTTTGTGAACAAAATGTCAAAAGATGATCAAGAAAAAGCAGATGAGATATTAGCTTGAGCTATATTTGCAAGTGGTACACCTCTTTCCATAACGGAAAAATCAATACTGGAAGGAATATTACAAACTAATTCACCCATCATATAAGTTACTGACATGTTATCGCTCATTACATTCTCTCTTAGATAGACAGAAAGACAGAGTTCAAACAATGGTTATTCAAAGGATTGGTCAAGCAGAATCACCGAGTCTGAAGTCAAGTGGATGGACTGATATACAAGGAAATAATTTATTGAACATTATGTTAGCAACACCTGAACCAATATTCCTAAAAGCAATTGCTACCGAATCTTCTCATCATACAGGTGAATACACAGCCAAATTACTGAGTGAAGAGATTGGAAGTGCAGGTCCCTCTAGGGTACAAGCCCTTGTAACTGATAATGCAAGTAACAAGAAAGCTGCATGGAAAATATTAAAGGCAAAGTATCCTCATTTAATAGTATTTGGCTGTCTTGCTCATGGGTTGAATCTTCTGGCAAAGGACAAAGTAAGTGTGAATACAATGAAGACAATATTGGCAAACTGCAAAGCAACTGTGAAGGTATTCAACAATCATCATGTTGCTAATCAGACTTTGAAGAAATTACACAAAGAGAAGCAGGGAAAGGAAAGAAATCATTTTGGAACCAAGAGTTCTAGTTTTTTGTATGTCTTTTTGTCTCAGACCAACACAGCTACCAAGTACACCCCGGGGAAAGGAAAGTGCACTTTTACTGCCAGGAGAAACTAGATGGTGTTCAGCTACGAAGTGTTTACCTAGTTTGCTGTGCACAAAGAACTGTTTGCAATGTGCTTCAATAGATGACACAGTATCCCAGATTATTCCTGTGAACACTCGGAAGCAGATTCTCGACAATGATGTGTTCTGGGTTTGAGTTTTACTAAGAGATCTGAGTTTTGCTCTCATCCAGTTCATCTGGCAGCAAACCTTTTGGATCCTCAACACAGAGGACAAACATTTATCAGAAGATGAATTATCTACTGCTCTCAATACAATTGTGGAAGTAGCTAAGACTGTCCCTAACATCGACAGAACAGCTGTGATAACAAACATTGCCAAGTACCATGCAAAAGAAAAACTTTGGAGCAAAGACATTATTTGGCGGGCAGCCGAAAATATGGTCTCCTCTCACATGGTGGAAGGGATACTGTAACACCCGCCTGTTGTCCAGGATTGCTCTAAGGATCCTAAGAATTCCACCAACAGCAGCTTCTTGTGAACAGAACTGGAAAGCTTTCAGCTCAATCAAGACAAAAAAGAGGAATAGACTATAGCAAATGAATGCACCACTAAGCTTGTTTCTATTTCTCAAAATCTCTCGCTTCTGGAGAATCAGTCAGAAGCACAATTAGTGAAGAAGATGCAGTGTGATGATAAGCTGCCCTTGCCCATAGACTCATTGGTAAAACCATCCTTTAACAAAAGAGAATGTGGTTCAAGTAGCTCTAAATCAGATTTGCCTCAGTCTGATTCTGAAATGGAACTAATAAGTAGTGCAAGTGATTCTACAGATAGTGAGAGTGAAACTAGAGGTGCTACAATGACCTCAGTGGAAGAGAGTTAAACTCTGTTCAAGTAGATGAGTGGACAATGACAGCATATCACGCACAGTTCTTTGGGTGTGCTAAAATTAGTTTGTCAACAGTTTTCAGTGCCTTCATGTTTTTTTCTTAAATTTAAACAAACAATGTAAGGGATGTACATGCTACTGTGTATTGTCTTTACATTTTTACAAGTATTCCAATAAAAATAATTTCTTTCCAAATAAAGCTTAGAATTTGTTTCAATATAACATTTAAACCAGTTTAAACCATTAAGTGTGCTGTGTTTGAATATAATCCGTAAACCATTAAGTGTGCTGATTTCTATTTTTTTCCTAATCAAATATTTCAGTTCAAATACTTGTGGCTATTGGGACATAAAATTAACATGGGGGTACTTTTTGAGTTTAGTTTACTAAATAAGTCAAATAAACATGCTAAATCAGATCACGCTCTATTTAAGGCACTGGAAAATTTTCCAGAAAACTCACATCTCTGGGGACAAAAAGTCCTTCAATAAGCAATTTTCTAACCATCTGCCTACAGGGGAGTTTTTCCTAACTCCAAACAGTTTGTGTCCTGAAGCTGAAAGATTTATATCAGTTAAAATGAAAAATAATCCTAACTAGTAAAATAGCTACAAATTTTCTCATTAATCTTAAAAATGTCTAATTTGTTCTTTCATTCTTCTAATCACCTTACTCTACAAGGATATCTTGTGGTTATGAGCTGCATGGAAAGGGTGGGGGGGAGAAGAGAGAGAGAGAGAGAGAGAGAGAGAGAGAGAGAGAGAGAGAGAGAGTGTATTTTGAGAGAGAGAGAGAGAGAGAGAGAGAGTGTATCTTTTTTTTCAGTTTTAAATGTGATGCTTCTATTTTTATGACGAGAGTAGCATAACTGGTGGGGAAAGGAGGGGAGAAAGGGAGGGACAGCCGGTGTAACCAAGGCAGCAGCCCAGGCACCACTACAGAGACGTCAGAATAGCAGTCCCCAGGGGGGCTCTGTCACCACCACAGCCCATGTTGGGGGAGCTTGAACTGAGGTAGTAGCAGCCTGTGCTCTGCCACTGCCACCGCCCACATCCAATGATAAGCTTTTTCTTAGTCATGCCTGCATCTCTTGATCCTACATCAGAACCATTCAGCTTCCCAGCCCCCCCAGCCCAGCTCTTCTCTCTTGCTGGAGAACCACTCCTCCATCCCTACTGCTTTGAAAAGGGGCAATGAGTCACCCACGTCAGTGGATCCTAAGACACATTTAATTCTTTTCATCAGGATCAACAACAGGGAAGAGAAGTCAGATTTTTGCATTGTTTCAAAGTATAAATGGAGCACCCACATTATGTTCACTATATTAAGATACAACAGTGAGCCTTTTTTATCAACTG